ACTTCCTTTCAAAGACCCCACCCACTGCCCTCACCAAGCCCCACCCCTCCTTTTGCTCACCTCCCACTTCCTTGAAGGGCTACAACCACTTCCCTTGCCAGGCACCATTCACTTTCCTTGCTTGGCCCCACCCTCTCCCTTTGGTCACCTTCCACTTGCTTTGAAAGGCCACACCTACTGCCTTTGGGAACCCCCCCCCAGCAAGCCTCCCCCTCCCCTCCACAGCGCCCACCTCCCACACTTACGGAGTATAGATTGCCGCTGCTTGCTTTCAGGGGCAGCCTGTATTGGACGATGGCTTTTAGGGTCTCCAGCTTGCTCTGTGGAATCTGAAAGAACGTTCTCTGTGGGCCTTATGGCAACCCAGCCCTGGGAAAGGCTAGCGCTGGATGGGAATCCCAAGCGAGTCAACCTCTTCTTTCCCCTGCCCACACTGTGAGACGTGGTTCTTGGTCTTGACTGACCCAAAGCGGCCTGGTTTTGGGGAATACTGGATTCTTTGTGGTCCGGATCAATAACTACAGTCAAAGATGAAGATGACAGCCTCCCCAAGACAACACATCTCAGGCCGAATTCTACACAGAATTGTGGACCCGGGTTCGTATTCCACATGGGCAGGTCTACGCAAACCTACTCCCAAAGTCTGAGGAAGCCGAGAGGCCAAAGAGGCTGGTGGATCCCATATTTCAGAAAGAAACATCGAATAGGAACTTACAGAAGCCGCGTCTGTGTCTCAGGTAGAGACGAGACAAGATGATGGATTCCTGTGCCACTAACCCTTAGACCCGGGGCTTATATGCCACAGGGAAAAGGTGACTCAGAAGGAATGTGTAGATTGACTGAAGGGCAAGTTCATGCCATTGCCCAAGGAACAAAAGATGAATTGGAGATCTTAAAGGTCTTCCTGGACTGGGGTTAATCAGAAGTCAATATGATGGGGTAGCATCCAAGATGGAGGTGCTTTGACCTCCACAGCTGGGGAGGTAAAGGAAGTCTCTCCCAGCTCTGTCTATCCCAGGAACTGAAGCCATGCCACCAGGATTCAGCTAACTTTTGAGTTGGAAACAGACAACAAAAATTTCCCATGAAGGTGGGTGGAACCCGAACAGGTTCAGAGCCTTCCACCCAAAGAAAAACAACCTTCTGGACTTGGTGGCTTATGCCTACAATCCTAGCGCTTCAAGAGGTCAAGGTGGGAGGATTGCCTGAGCCCAGGAGTTTGAGACCAGCCTGGGAAATATCGTGAGACCTCGTCTCTATGATAAAATTTTTAAAATTAGCTGGGTGTGGTGGCACACACCTGTAGTCCCAGCTACTTGGGAAGCTGAAGCAGAAGGGATCTCCTGAGCCCAGCAGATCAAGGCTGTGGTGAGCTGGGAGCGTGCCACTGTGCTCCACCCTGGGAGACAGAATGAGACTCTAATTCAAGATAATAACAATAGTAACCCATAGTAGGATGTACATAAAACGATACCTCGGTGAAGGTGGCTGGACCCTGAATGGGTTCAGAGCCCTCTAACCACACCTAGAACTGTGTTCAGGCCACCTGCAGGACTCTTACACACTCTTCGTGCCAAAGGAGGAAGGTGCCTTTATGATATTTTGAGCCAATCCAATGAAAAAGCCACTCCCAGCATCTATTTTGCTAATTATAGCCATGCCTCTGGCATGGATTGGAGAGAAAAGATGACAAAAGCCCATAGAGCAGACAGACTAGAGTTTTCCAGAGAGGAGGAATAGACATCCCAAGAGCCTGGAGCATACAGTAGCTTGGGGTGTTTGAACATGAAGAGTCCAGGATGGCCGGAGTGGAAACCCAAGAGAGGGTGACAGGGGAGGAAGCAGGAAGGGTGGTGAGGGCCGGGTTGGCAGAGGCTTGGTGGCAAAGGTGAGGAGTTTGGAGTTTATTTGTTTTTATTATTATTTGAGTTGGGTTCTCAGTCTGTTGCTCAGGCCAGAGGGAGTGCAGTGGCACTATCATGGCTCGCTGTAGCCTCAACATCCTGGACTCATATCATCCTTTTGCCTCGGCCTCCCAAGTAGCTGGGACTACAGGTACCACCATGCCTGGCTCTTTTGTTTTATTTTTTGGTAGAGACAAAGTCTGACTGTGTTGCAAACTCCTGGACTCAACCAGTCCTCCCACCTTGACCTCTCAAAGTGCTGGGATTACAAGTGTAAGCCACTGTGTCCAACTTGGCGTTTCTTTGAAGAGAGATAGGAAACTACTGGAGGATCAAAGGATTATAGGTAGGGACAGGGTCATGATTAATGTCCTGAGTCAAAGATATCCTAGTAGAGTTGGCCATCTGGCTTGGGGGGAGCGTTTCAGGAGCCAGGTTTTGGATATCCCAGACAGAGCAACTGGAACAATGACTCCCCCACCAACTGCACCTTCAGTGAAACGAGGAGTCATTCAAACACACCTAAGATATTGGAAATGTTTCTACACTAGCCATACAAAAAAACACAAGAGGAACCAAATTTCACTGTACACAAAGAAAACTCACCTAAACATTTTGCCACAGCAGAAGAGCATTGTAGCACAACATTTCAACATAAAATTAAAGCATAATGAAGTAAACACAGCAAGGAAGGAAGAACACAAAGCAAACATACAAGCACTTAGGGAAGGGAGAGCACCATGCAACCTGGTGGCAAAAAAAAAAAAAAAAAAAAGTGAAACAAGAAGTGATAGAACTCAGGAAAGAAAGAAAGACAGAAGCTTTCAGAAAGGAAAACAATGACAACAAATGAAGAAAATTGCAAGGAGCACGGCTGTGATATAATCACACTTCTCCCAGAAAAAATAACTGGCTGGACTTGGTGACTTGTGGCTACAATTCCAGCACTTCAGGAAGCCAAAGTGGGAAGACTGCCTGAGCCCAGAAGTTCAAGACTAGCCTGGGAAATATGGTGGGACCTTGTCTCTACAATAAAACAAAAAAATTAGCAGGGTGTGGTGGCACGTGTCTGCAGCTCCAGCTATTTGGGAGTCTGAGGTGGAAGGATCATCTGAGCTCAGCAGATCAAGGCTGCAGTGAGCCGTGATTATGCCACTGCACTCCAGCCTGGGCAACAGAATGAGACTCCAACTCAAAATAATAATAATAATAATAAATAGTGAGATGTACATAAAATAATACATAAGCACATTTTTAAATGGAGGCTGAGTAGTAAACTAAGTTAATGTGAATTGGAAGTTAAACTCCCTCCCTCCACTCTGCTCCGCCCAAAACCAGCTTCCAGGTATGACAGTGTGGTCATGGAGGAAACCATGCATGGGACAAACCTTACCACCTCACTTTATTGTTAGAATCTACCCGAGTTGGGCATGGTGGCTGTCATCCCAGCACTTTGGGAGGCCAAGGCGAGAGGATTACCCGAGCCCAGGGGTTCGAGACCAGCTTGGGCAACTTGGCAACACCTCATCTCAACAATTAATCAAAAAATTAGCCAGGTATGGTGACGTGCACTTGTAGTTCCAGCTACTCAGGAGGCTGAGGTGGCTGCGAGCGTGCCACTGCACTCCAGCTTGGGTGACAGAGTGAGACTCTAGCTCAAAAAAATAATCCACCTGAGAGCAAAAGGACACCTGGCCAGAGCCCTGGGGTCCCCCTGGGTGATTTTGGTGAGTGGTGCTTGGCAGGGCATTACCGAAAGGATTTTCTGCAACTGTTGATCATTTTCAACCAGCAAGATGTTCACCTTGGCATGAGTGATGACATACTGACAAGCCTCAGCTGAGTTGGTGGCATAAATACCAACACACAGGCCCCTGGGAAAAGAAATTACAGTCACGTGTGCACCACACCCACCTTAAGGTGAGAACGGCCTGGACGGTCCGGGGAGAGGGAAGGCTTGGAGGCAAGTTCTGAATTTCCAGCCTCAACACATGCTTCCCTTTCTCCCCAACTTAATGATAGCAGCAAAAATGATAATGACATTGAGCGTGGTGACTCCTAGGAGATCATTGTGACAGCAGGTTACAGGACACTTACAACATCCATTTTACAGATGAGGCAAACCAGTCAGGACAGTGACATCGCCTACCCAAGGTTCCATAGCAAGTGACCTTAGACCTGGGACTTGTCCCCTCCCCCACTCAGCCACCTGTTCCCTTTGTTCACACTTTTGGTCTTGCCAATGGCATCCTGTCGTGACTTTAATTTGCATTTCTCAGAGGTTAATGACTTTGGGCATCTTTACAGGTGCTTGTTGGCTACTTTTCTTTGTGATTTTTTTTTTTTTTTTTTAGTCGGTGTCTCACTCTGTCGCCCAGACTGGAGTGCAGTGGGATGATCACAGCTCACTGCAGCCTCCAATTCCTGGGCTCCCTGATCCTCCCACCTCAACCTCCTGAGAAGGTAGGACTATAGGAACACTCCGCCACCCTGGTTAATTTTTTTTTTTTTTGTAGAGACGGGGGTCTTGTTATGTTGCTCAGGCTGGTCTTGAACTCCTGGGCTCAAGCAACCCTCCTGCCTCAGTCTTCCAAAGTGCTGGGATTACAGGCACAAGCCACAGTGCTTGACCGGAGTCCTTTGTCAGATTCAAGTTTTATGAATATTTTCCCCAAGTGTGTGATGTATCTGTTCATGTTCTCGTTAGTGTCTTTGAATGAGCAGAAGTTTTTGACATTAATAAAGTTCTATTTGGCAACTTTCTCTTTTATGCTTTTTATGTCCTGTCTTAGAAAGCTTTGGCTACCCCTGGTTTTGAAGATATTCTCTTGTGCTTTCTTTTTTCTGTAAGCTTTAGAGTTGAACTTGTGTCATAAGTACTATAATCCACCTCAGAGTAATGTTGCATATGGTGTGAGGTAGGGATCTTGGCTGATTTATTTTTCCATATGAGTATCCAGCTAGTCCAGCACCCCTGGATGACTTTGGTGCTTTGGTTGGAAGCCACTGGCCATGTATGTGTGGGGGCTATTTGTGGGTTCACTAGTTGATCTAGTTGAGGGTGCTTTTAGCCAGTCAGGGAATTAAGCAGGTTATAGTTATGTGAAACAGTTACATTCATTACTGTTTATAAGTACGTACTATTTGAAAGTCACCATGCTAAGGTATTAATCAATGTCATCTCATGGAATCTTCACAACAGCCCACTGAGGCACGGAGATATGATGATCATTTGTACAGACGACAAATATCAGAAGACCCAAAATTTGTACTCAAATCTGGTCCACAGCATCTCACCTTTCATTTCTGAAATGGGAACCCACCTCTTTTTCTTTGTTTTTGTTTTGTCTTGAGGCAGGGTCTCACTCTATTTCCCAGGCCAGAGGGCTATGGCATAATCACAGCTCACTGCAGCCTCTACCTCTTGGGTTCAGGCAATCCTTCCAACCTCAGCCTCCAGAGTAACTGGACTACAGGTGCACACCACCATGCTTGGTTAACTGTTTGGATGGGGTTTTTTTTGGTAGAGGTGAGGCCTTCCTGTGCTGCCTAGGCTGTTCTCTATCTCCTGGGCTCAAGCAGCCCTCCTGCTTCAGCCTCCCAAAATGCTCAGATTACAGGCATGAGCCACCATGCCTGGCCTTAGCGGATTTTTAAATCTTTTTGTAGAGGCAGAGTCTTGCTATGTTGTCCAAGCTGGTCTCAGACTCCTGGGCTCAAGTGATTCTCTTGCCTCGACCTCCCAAACCCCTGGGATTGCAGGCATGAGCCACCATACCTGAACTGTTTTGTTTTGGTTTTATTTGGTTTGTTTTTAGAGCCAGATTTGGGTGCTGGCCTTGTTGCCCACTGGCTGTGTGAGTCTGTTTCCTCATCTGTAAACAGGGGATGATAGAATTCATTTCACACTGCTGTCGTGAGTTTTATAGGATCACACACACAGAGCACAATGCTTTGCACATAATCAGAAATCTATCTGTGATTATTATTTTGTTTGACAAAAGCTCTGCAGGTGAAGGGGAAAAAAAGCCTCAGACCTGATCTAATGGATATTACTATATGTGAACCCTGATAAGAATGGTTTGTTTGGGAGTCTGTGCTTCCTGTTATTCTGGGGTTCCATCTGAAATTCCTATGTGTATCTCAGACTGCACCAGCCCGGGGCAAGGGACGTGGCTCAGCCCCCCTCACCAGGAGCCAAACTATGGCCTTACCCTGCTAGGATGGCGCCAAGAGCAGCAGTGAACCACTCCACGGAGTTAAACCCCAGGATGCCAACTCCGTGGAAACGCTCCAAGCCCAGCTGGAAAGGAAAAAGCACACAGAAAACATAAACACGGAGATCAGGCCATTAGGACATGTTAAAACAGGCTCAGAAGTAGTCATGTGAGGGAGGGAAAGAGCACTGAGTCTAAAATCTGGGAGGAATTTTTTTGTTTTTGTTTTTGTTTTTACTCTGAGAGTTTTGATTGCCTTCTACGTAACACCCCATTTATTTATTTTTACTTCATTTGTTGTGGTAAAATATAATATAAGACTTGCCATTTTAGCTGTCTTCAAGTGCACAGTTCAGGGCATGAAGCACATTCACATGGTTGTGCAACCATCACCACCATCATCTCCAGAACTTTCCGCTCTTTCCAAACTTAAACACTGTTCCCATGAAACATTCACTCACACCCCATCCTGTCCCCAGTCCCTGGCACCCACCACGATACTTTTTGTCTCTGTGAATCTGACAATTCTAGAGACCTCCTAGGAGTGGGATCACACAGAAATTGTCTTCTGTGTTAGCTTTCTTTCTTTCTTTCTTTCTTTCTTTCTTTCTTTCTTTCTTTCTTTCTTTCTTTTTCTTTCTTTCTTTCTTTCTTCCTTCCTTCCTTCCTTTCTTTCTTTCTTTCCTCTTCCTTCCTTCTCTTTCTTTTTCTCCCTTTCTCTCTCTCTCTCTCTTTCTTTCTTTCTTTCTTTGTTGGGGTCTCACTCTGTCACCCAGACTGGAATGCAGTGGTGCAATCACAGCCTCAATCTCCTGGGCTCAGGTGATTCTTCCACCTCAGCTTCCTGAACAGCTAGGACTACAGGCATGAGACACTACACCCAGCTACTTTTTATTGTTTTTTGTAGAGATGAGGTCTCACTATGTTGCCCAAGGCTGGTCTCAAACTCCTAGCCTCAAGCAATCCTCCTGCCTCAGTCTCCCAGAGTGCTAGATTACAGGCATGAGCCACCATGGCAGGCCACCTGGCTTGTTTCACTGAGCATAATGTCCTCAAGTCAGAGCTGTTCCTCTTCAAGGCTGAATCATACTCCACTGTGTGGATGGACCATATTGTGCTTATTAATTCATTTCTTGATGAGTTATTTCCATCTTTTGACTAATGTGAGTTATGCTGTTATGAACATGCCATATCTCTTCATGTCCCTGGTTTTGATTATTTTGGGTAAATACCCAGAAGTGGGATTGCTGGGTTGGATAGTAACTCTATATTTAATTTTTTTAGGAACCACCATTGTGTTTTCCATAGGGGCTGCACCATTTTACATTCCTCCAGCATTGCATAAGGGTTTCTATTCCTCCACATCCTTGCCAACATTTGTTATTTTCTGTTTTTTTAATAGTCATCTTAAGGGATGTGAATTTAAAAAAAATTTTTTTTCCATAGAGACAGGATCTCACTATGCTGCCTGGGCTGGCCTCAAACTCCTGGACTCAAGCAATCCTTCCACCCTGGCCTCTCAAAGCACTGGGATTACAGATATGAGCCACCATGCCCAGCCATGTTCAATCTTTCTTTTGGTTCATTCATTCTGGGATTGAAATTGGCTACTATCTTGTGAGGACACTCAAGCCTCCCCATGGAAGATTCAGGGAGTGAGGAACTGAAGCCCCCGGCCAGCAACCAGTCATATAAGTAAGCTTGGAAACAGACCTTCCCTGTCCCAGTCAAGCCTTCAGATGAGGCAGTCCCAGTCGAAAGCTTGACTGCAACCTCATGAAAGCCCCAGGCCCAAAACCACCCAGCTATGAAGAAGCTTCTAAATTTCAGACACTGTGAGATAATAAATGTTTGTATTTTTAGTCACTACATTTGGGCTAATCTGTTATGCAGTGGTAACTAACTAATACATGTTAAGGGACAAAAGCAAGAGGCAGGACTCTGGACATAGTATGCTACCATGTGTAAATTTTATGTAAAAATAGCAGCCAAGCGCGATAGCTTACGTCTGTTATCCCAGAACTTTGGGAGGCAGAGGCAAGAGAATTGCCTGAACCCATGGGTTCAAGACCAGCCTGGGCAACATAGCAAGACCTCATCTCTACAATAAATAAAAAAGTTAGCCAGGCATGGTGGCATGCACCTGTAGTTCCAGCTACTTGGAAGGCTGAGGCAGAAGGATCACCTGAGCCCAGGAGGTTGAGGCTGTGGTGGCCATGAGCATGCCACTGCATTCCAGCCTGGGTGACAGAGTGAGACTCTGACTCAAAAAAAATTATATAATATAAGCACATAATTTATTCCCCAAAAAGACATACACAAACATTGGCAATAATGGCTGTCTCCACATAGAGAACTGGCTGCTGAGTGAGGACCATGGATCTGAGGGAGAATGTTCACCAATTAACTTTTGTATCATGGATTTTGTACCATGTGTAGGTGTGTATATTACCTATTCTGAATGAACGGTTGAATAATTGAAAATGAATGAATGACTCCTTTACCTTGATCAAGGCTCTTGCAGCCTTCCGACAAGTCTCGTAGTACTGTTCGTAATTCAGAATTTCCCACTTCTTGCCGTTTTTTGATGCAAGGGCTGGACATATCCTGAATCGGTCGACTGACTCGCGAAAAAACTCAGGGATGGTCATCGGGTTCTTGTGGCCTGGTCCATGTTCTGATAACCTCAGAGGGACTTCTCCATCTCGATGGGTGGTCCACATCCAGGAAATAACTGCAAACAGTCACCAGGGTTGGGTGGCAAGTGTTTTTATTTTTTTAATAACTATAGGGGTGGTAGTGGTGTCTTTTTGAGCCTAAGGTACTGAGAGTTGAATTAATCCTACGCTTCGGGGGAAATTACGTGGTCATTACTAGTCAAATCAAAAGCACCCATTCTCTTGTTTGTTTTTTTCATGATCCCTTCAACGTTTTATTATAAAATGTTTCAAGCATACAAGAAAGTTAAAAGAATTGTAGGGCAAACAGCCTCTTACTCACCACTTAGATTCCATAATGGATAGCATTATATCCCTATAACTCTCCTTTTAATGTCCATCGTGCACATCTTATTTATTTTATTTTATTTTTTAGAAATGAGGTTTTGCTATGTTGCCTGGGCTAATCTTGAACTCCTGGCCTCAAGCAATCCTTCTACCTCAGCCTCCCAAAATGCTAGGACTCCAGGTATGAGCCACTACACCCAGCTCATCTTATTTTTTGGTGCATTTTCATGTAAGTGGAAGCTATTCATCTGTTTCACCCTTAAACATATTTGCATATGAGTCACTAACTAGGGTCTCATATCATTTGCAGGGATTTTTTTCCTTCAGGAAAAATTTACATGCAATAGATGACAAATGCGTTGACCAAAGAACTTTAAGAAGGGACCGGGCTGGGCTCGGTGGCTCAGCCTGCAATCCCAGTACCTTGGGAGGCCAAAGCGAGTGGATTGCCTGAGCTCATGGGTTCGAGACCAGCCCAGGCAACTTGGCGAGATCTCATCTCTACAACAGATAAAAAATGAGTCGTGGAAGGCTGAGGTGGAAGGATCGCTGGAGCCCAACAGGTCAATGTTGGGTTGGCCATGAGCGTGTCAGTGTACTCCAGCCTGGGCGACAGAGTGAGACAAAAAAAAAAAAAAAAAAGAGAGAGACTGGTGTGCATCACTCCTGTGTAGATTATTTAAGAGCCAGTGCATTATTTGCATATGCAAAAATTGTATAATATACACACATAATGTATTCCCCCAAAAAGACATACAAAAAGTTGGCAATGATGGCTGTCTCCCCAAGAAGTCCAGCTGGGCTCGGTGGCTCAGCCTGTAATCCCAGCACTTTGGGAGGCTGAGGCAAGTAGATTGCCTGAGTCCGCAGGTTCAAGACCTTCCCGGGCAATTTGGCAAAATCTGATCTCTACAATAAATCTAAAACTAGCTGGGCATGGTAGCGCATGCCTGCAGTTCCAGCTACTTGGAAGGCTGAGGCGGGAAGGATCGCCAGAGACCAGCAGGTCGAGGCTGTGGTGGCTGTGAGTGTGTCACCGCACACCAGTCTGGGTGACAGAGGGAGACTCCAACTCAAAAAAAAAAAAAAAAAAGGAGGAGTTCCCCACCCCACACGTCAGACACGCAGCATGGGCAAAAACCAGGCTTGTGTTGTGTTAAACTATTGAGGTTTAGGGGCTGTATGTTATAGCAGCATCACCCAGATCAGCCGAATGAAACTTGCAAAGGGACCAGCTCACAAAACCAGTTTCCCAGCCTGGGCAACATAGCGAGACCCTGTCTCAAAGAAGTCTAATAATATCAAAATTAACTGACTGTGCTGGTGCCTGTAATCCCAGCCTCTTGGGAGTCTGAGATGAGGGGATCGCTTGAGCTCAGGAGTTTAAAGGCTGCAGTGAGCTATGATTGCACCACTGCACTCCTGTGTGGGTGACAGAGCGAGACCGTGTCTTTAAAAAAATTATTATTATTATTATTCTGTCACCCAGGCTGGAGTGCAGTGGCACACTCACAGCCACTGCAGCCTCGACCTGCTGGTGATCCTTCCACCTCAGCCTTCCAAGCAGCCAGAACTGCAGGCGCATACTACCATGCCCGGCTAATTTTTGATTTATTGTAGAGACACGGTCTTGCCAAGTTGCCCGGGCTGGTCTCGAACCCACAGGCTCAGGCAATCCACTCTCTTTGGCCTCCCAAAGTGCTGGGATTACAGGCTGAGCCACTAAGTCTGGCCAAAAATATTATTTAAAAAAAACAACAGCTTGTGATCGTGTATCTATTACCTCTTTGCGGTGTGTGTAATGATTAACAGTGAAAAAGAAGAGAACAGGGTTTTTTTCTGGAGAGAGTTGTTGGTTTGCTGGGTGATCTCCACCAACCTCCAGTAACAGGCCAAGTAAGAGAAGATTTAAGAGACCCTTTTGGAGAATTGGGTGTGTGACCTTGAGTTTGTTCAACAGACCATGGTCTACTGGAAAACCAGTCGCCAAAAATGGCGGAGTAGACAGCTCTATTGGAAGGAAATTGCACATCCACCCACAATGGGACATTATTTTTTCCCCCTTAACTGGACATAGACCTGATGAATGACCTTCTGAAGGCTGTTGGCTAGAGACCAGCACAGAGACTAGAAATACATGATCAGATAGTCATCAACAAACACTGGTATGACCAATGCATTTCTTGGCTAAGGCTGCCATCAGAAAGCGTCCAGACCGGGTGGTTGAAACAAATAAATACTAATTCTGTCCCAATTTTGGAGGCCAGAAGTCTGAAGTCAAGGTGTCCACAGGTTTGGCCCTTTGAAGGCTGTGAGGGATAATTTCCCCAGGCCTGTCCTCTGCTTCTGGTGGTGGGCGGCACTCTTTAGCATTCCTCCGTTTGTAGAAGCATCACCCTGATCTCTGTCTTTATCCTCACATGGCATTCTCCATGTGTAAGAGAAGGGATGCCGCCCCCCAAAAAACCCTGGAATTATGTTAGAAGGCAGGCCCCTCGTATTACAGGCTTTTCCCGCCAAGTAAGTGTTCTAAGAACCCCTCGGCATCCGTGAGAGACTGTTTGGCTTCAGTGAAATTTTTTTTTTTTTTGGTGGGGGGATTCTTTCGGTGCATTTGTCCATTTCATGATGGGTGACTTCTGAGTGTCCTGGCCCACACTGTGGTGAGTGTTCACCAGTTTTTGACCCCAAGTGACATGACACCTGTGCCCCACCCCCCCTATTCACCCGATCTCACCCCGAGTGACTTTTTTTTTTTGTTTCCCTGATGAGAAAAGTCCTCAGAGGGAAACATTTTGCCCATGGGGAGGAGGTGAAACCAAACATGGCAGCAGCACTAAAAGGCCTCCAAACGGATGAGTTCAAAACTGTCGTGAGCAGTGGAAAAATTGTCTCGATAGGCATATGGCATCCCTTGGAGAGGCCCTTGAAGGTGACTGAAGCTCAAACATGGAAGAATACATTCACAATTTTTTATAAATGAATTCTGAGTTTTGGGGGTCCTCCCTCGTATATCTGTCTCTGTGTCCAAATTTCCCTTTTTTATAGGGACGTCAGTCATTTTGGATATGACAACCGACCCTGATGACCTCATTTCAGCTAACTGCATCGGTGGTGACCCCCGTTTCCAAATAAGCCTTCGTTCTGATCTACCAGGGCTTTGGATTTCCACATAGGGATTGGGGAGGGGGTATAACTCAGCCATGACAACCTACTCAAGGGAAGGCTAGTTCATAGAAGGCGACATTCAATCCTCCTTCTCTTAGGAGAACCGGCCCAGGGAGTCAGCACAGCTCACAAGGAAGCCATCTGGGGGAGAATGGAGGTGGAGGAACATCTAGGAATACAAAGAACACCTCATCATGCTTTTCTGTTCCCCCATTCCAGCTTCCAGCCTGAAGCATGGTGGAGGGGAGAAACCTCAAACTGGACAAAAATGTGAAAGGTGTTTCCTGGATACTGGTGGGATACTTTAACGACTGTAGTGGGTTGAGCAGTGCTGTCTCCACTTCCCAAATGTACAACCACCAGGACTTCAGGATGTGACTTTATTTGGAAATAGAGTCTTTGCAGGTGGATTTAGGGAAGGATTCCGAGACGAGATCATCTTGGATTTAGGGTAATCCCTAAATAAAATGACTAGTAGACTTATAAGAAGAAGAGAGGGCCGGAAGTGGTGGCTCACGCCCATGATCCCAACACTTTGAAGGGCTGAGGCGGGAGGATCGCCTGGGTTCCAGACAGGCCTCCTCTCCACAAAACAAAAAAATTAGCCGGGTGTGGTGGTGCACACCTGCAGTCCCCCCAGCTACTTGGGAGGCTAAGGCAGAAGGATCACCTGATCCCAGAAAGTTGAGGCCTTGGTGAACTGTGATCGTGCCCCTGCACCCCAGCCTGGGTGACAAAGTGAGACCCTGACTCCCACCCCCTCCCCTCTCTCCAGAAAAGGTGAAAAAGAATAAGAAAAGAGGACATAGACACACACAGAGAAGACATCCACGAAGACAGAAGAAGAGACTGGAGTGATGACCCTGTAAGACGAGAAAAGTCGAGGAGTACCAGACCCTGCCAGAAGCTTCCTCACCACCTCAGAAGGAACCAGCCCTGCTGACGCTTTGATTTCAGACCATGAGACGCCCGAATGGTGAGACAATATATTTCTGTTGTTTCAGATACCCAGTCTGTGGCATTTTGTGATAGCAGCCCAGGAAACAAATACTGTGACCAAAATCAGATTTCGAAAATTATTCCTGTTGGAGAGTGACTGCAACAGTTATCGCGTTTGTCAATATTTTACTTATGTTAAAAAGGGCGTGAGTGGGTGTGGTGGTGCATGCTTGTAGTCCCAGCACTTTGGGAGGCCGAGGCAGGAGAATCACCTGAAGCCAGGACTTCAAGACCAGCCTAGGCAGCATAGCAAGATCCCCATCTCTACAAAAAACGATCTTAAAAAATTAGCCGGGTGTGGTGGTACAAGCCTGTAGTCCCAGCTACTCAGGAGGCTGAGGTGGGAGGCTTGCTTGAGCCCAGGAGTTCGAGGCTACAGTGAGCTATGATCGCACCACTGCACTCCAGCCTAGGTGACAGAGCCAGGTCCTGTCTTTTTTGCGTGTTTGCTTCCCTGGGTGAAATAAAAGTCCTCCAAGGGAAATGTTTTGCTGGTGTGGAAGAGATTAAACAAAAAAACAGCTTTTTCGAATGAGGCAGAAGGATCACATAAGCCCAGCAGGTCAAGACTGCAGAGACTGTGATTGTGCCACTGCACTCCAGCCTGGGCCACAGAGTGAGGCTCCAACTAAAAAAGCAAAAAACAGTATACACACACACACACACACACACAGCAGAAACATTAAAAGGCATCCAAATGGATGGGTTTAAAAACCGTTTCGTCAATATTTTTTAAAAGGGGAGGATAGTTTTGAAGGAAGCTTTTTCGCTGTTCATGATCTCACGAGACCCCTTGAATTTAGTTCTGGCAGGAAAAGGGTTACAGCATAATGATACCGGGCCATTATGATTATACCCGCATCACACAGTGGCGTGGATGGATTCTGGGTATTGATCTGCACGGGCTTGCCATCCCGATAGCGAGGTGCTGTGATCAATACCCTCACAGGTGCAGAAATGCACATGAGGGAAGGAACATGCCCGGCGTCACGTGACCAGTGGAGCTCAGCTCTGAATCGAGCGGCCCAGCTCCATCGTGTTGATCACTCGCCCATGCTACCTTCACGCCCTCCCAGAAGAAGAAAGGACCCAGCAGGACCAGGCACCCTTGGCCAGAGCCAGAGGCTGGGCAAAGAATGGCTGGGTCCTTACTTTTTAGGTCCAGAACCTTCTGCAGAGAGCCTGTGTGGAGTCCGTGCACCTCTCTCACTCTCTGGTGTGCTCTTTTGTGCAGCATACCTTGTGTTTCATCCTTGTCCACTTCAGGATTCTCAGCCTTCTCTTCTTGAGTCTTTGGGGTTTCAGCCATTCCAGGTCTGCGGAAACTATTCTTCACAGAACTGCAAGGCGAAAAGAAGGTGAACTTAGTGTGATGGGCACCAGGGCTAACTCCTCCATCGACTGGTCATGTCTGCCTAGAATCCTGGGAACAACTGGTCATGTCTGTCCTGGGCTTAGGAGGAGGGGAGAGTGGTCTGTATGCCAGATAACAGAGCACTCGTCAAGTCCAGAGCATTTTCCACCTGCATGTTTTCAGAAGAATCTTTTAAATGGTTAGACTATAAGGGCCAGGTCCATATGCAACTCCGTGGGAGAGAAAACATTTTGAAGTCTCCCAAGGGAAAGAAATGCTCACAGTACCACACATTTTTCTGCTCTAGGAGGCTTGCCTTAAAGATAGTATGACATGAAAAACCCAAAAGGGTATAAAGGAAAAACAGAGCAAACTTTGTTACATTAAAATTTTTAATTTTCCACATGGCAAAGAAGACCATAAACAAAATCAAAAGATCAACAACAAATTGAGAAAAAATATGGGCAGTACTTCCAAATAGATACAGATTTGTTTTCCTTCCTATGTAAAGAACTCTGATGAATCAATAAGAAGACCAAAACCCAATGAGAAAGTGCGCAAAAGACATGCGTAGACAACTCTCTGAAAATAAAGTAGAATAATGAATTTTAAAAACAGGAAAACATGCAATCCCAGTCATAAGACAAATGCAATAGAAACTATTATTATGCAATTTTCTCTATTCGATTAAGTAAGATTTTTTTAAAGCTGCACTTTGGGAGGCAGGTATGAGAGGATTTTCTGAGCCTAGGGGTCTGAGACCAGCCTGGGTAACTTGGTGAGACCTTGTTTCTACAATAAATCAAAAAATTAGCCAGGCATGGTGGCGTGCGCCTGTAGTTCCAGCTACTTCCT